AATACAATACAATACAATACCATTTATAATGTAATTTATAATGCTTAGAAACTGATTCCTTGTTGGTTTGCCAATTCAAAGGTACGAGCTCATATAAAGTAACGAAAATAAACACACCGTGCCATCGCCCCTTTAATAAAAATTGTAGGAAAAAACCCAGGGTTTGATGCCCAGTTAATTATTTAGAAATAAATAGGACGAGCAGTCGCACAACTTGCGTTTTTTTAACATTTTCAAATTGAGGCACAAAAAGGTTGAATAGCGAGATTAAGGCCCGGGTCAAACGCCGAGTTTCACTTGAGCCTAATTGGTTGAATTGGGTTCGGCTCATGTGAAGTAAGGCATTTGACCCGGACCTAACTATTTTCTTCAGGAGTGTCCCACCCAGTCAACGGTCCTATGCGTTAGGAATCCAGATGGATCTTGTCAGGATTCTGGGGGCCATTCCAGGGCCTATCGCGTTTGGCGCCTTACTGGACAAGACATGCATACTTTGGAACACAAAGTAATTACGCTTTATTTGTGAATTTGCTCTGGAGCAGTTTTCAATTGAGTATCGTAAAAATAAACTACAACCACAGTAATTACTCTGGCAAATCACTAAGGACACAGATAATTCATTAAACCAATGTTGACCAATCAAAACTCGAAGTAAACACGTGAAGCCGACGCGAAACGCGGGAAAACTGTGTGAGCGAGTCACGATTGCCTTTGGCTAGATGAAAAAGTAGCGCGAGCTGTTTTCAGCCAATCGTGAAGCGTAGTGATTCAAAACCAATTACTTTTTCTAAAAAACTGCTCTAAATGTTCGTCAGAGTAACTATAGGTTGGTTGTCACTAAACATCGTCTTCTCATTAATGGATAATAAATATAAAAGTTAGCTTTACGACAATCTGCCAAGCATTCACATGTAGAGCTGGCGTAAAGAGCTTAAGGTGCCACAGTTCATTTTAAGGATAGTACGCCCCCCCCTTCCCTCTAGCCTAATACGCGGAAACGTTTTAGCCTTGTAAAGAGCATCTGCCATATCTGCGTGGCTGAAGTTCCTGGGCAGCTGGTTCATATTATTAGTACCTTACTATGAAAGTGTTCGTCTGGAGGTACCGTAATTTATATAAATGCTTTTCAACCAGGGTAGCAATTCTTAGAGCAGGATGCAACAGTGACGTGTCCCTGTTGCGTGACAACCCTTAAAATTGGTTGTTAAGGAATGGTTTTTAATTACAGGTGCGGTAGAAAAGGTCATTGTCTGGAGTACGACCATGATGGACTGGCACAAGTGGTGGTGGGAGTTTTTGCCTCATGTAAATTCATCACCATGGTATGTTTCTTTCTGTCGTGGTTCTTTTGCCGTCGACGTCAAGCCAAAGAAAAGATGAAAGATGTTAACAACAAAAAAGAAGGAGAAGAAGAAGAAGAATCTAGAGAAGCCCTCTCTGAAGCTAGTGGGAAAATATTCATCTATAACCAGGAGACAGCGATGTGAATAAAAAAAAGCCAAAAAACAAAACCCCGTGCCTTTAAGTTAGGAAATGAAATATGACCGCACCGCGTCACCCACCAAATAATTTGAGCTCATAGTCTCAAATTAGTTTTTTTTAAATGATGTTTTCATTAACTTTAAAATCCTCAATGCTTGTAGCGTCACTGTGTGGTTCAAATCTCGGCCGATTTTGACGAAAATTTTGCACCAAAATTTCCCGTAAATTTCTTGTAAAGATCTACTCATTGAAAGCATGAAATTGTGGACCCCCCTATACATTAATTCTCTCTTTTCAAACCATCTTTTGTCAAAGCTATCTCTTCTTTGGTGGTTGTTGATCCGATTTTGGGAATACAAAGATCAATAGCTTTTAAATCGGGGTCTATTTATTCTATTGGAAAAACGCCCGTGCAATGTAGAACTGAAAGGGTTAACAGGACCTTGCGTTTTTAATGATTCAAACAGAGGTTTAGGTATAGAGAATTGACATATAAAATTTTATAGTGTGGTATTCCATAGTTAAAACGTAATAAAATGATATATTTCTCAGGAAAATGTAATACTTTGTTCAATGAAAACAATCTTTTTTTCTCTATTACATCTCCAAAGATGTCTAAGTTAATTACGCCATTTGAAAGCTATAAGTGAATGCAGTTTCCGCGGTACGTTAAGATTTAGAGACCATGATACAGACCTCACTGCTTTTGTTGTGTAAACCAAGTTGTTCTAATGTTAACTAGATGTATTTACATGACAAAAGCAGAGAGGTCTGTATCGAAGCAAGGTCACCTCCAGCCTCGCTGCCATTCAAAGGCTAGGTCACCAAGCAGACAACTGTAAAACGGTCTCTTTACTATCCATGCTATTACGTAATCCATCAGACATAAGAATGACTGAAGATAAACAGTTGTCATTCGGCTGGCTGAGATTTCGTCCGACATGGCTGCAGTTCCTCAACACTCCAAAATGGTTCTTGTTCTTCTTGAGTCAGTATTTCTTCACTCAGAGTATCGTTGTTAATGGAGTATATCCAGGGTCCATCAGCACTATAGAGAAGCGGTTTGGTTACTCCAGGTGAGTGTGTGCTTTTAATTTTGAAGCCGATTACGTTTTGTTTATCTGCTTGCTATTTACATGTTCATGAAGTGGTTGTACGTGACAAAGCATTGAATCTTACGTTTGTTAAGTTTTGTTTAGCGCTAAAAAAAAGAAGACAAAAAGATCTGCAAGTTTTATGTGCAGTAATAAAATTAATAACCATAATACAATATTAAAAAGTATCTGTAAAGTCCGTAAATCCCTCGTGACTGATGATCATGACTCTTGAAAATCATTTGAAGTGGTCGATCGGACTGACTTTTGATTCTAATATAATAATATAACCGTGCGTACCTACGTTATGATATAAAGCGGAGATAAAACATTTTCTGCATGGATGATTTGGCAACTGCTAGTAAACGAGAAACAGAACCAACACATTCGACCGATAAGTGCTGCCAAAGATTTTGTTGAAAAAATCGTTTTCAAGAGAAACTTTCTGAGGATTTTTTCATTGGAAATTCTCACTTGAAAATATGAAGGAAAGAGGTACTGTAGGCAAGTGCTTTCTGTAACAACATAATATACACTGTTTTAAAAAATTTAAATTTATGAACTTGACAACTACTCATTGTTTGCTCTTCCATTGTTTTTGCGTCTAATATTTGCGTCATAAAACAACTGTGCATGTTGGAATCAACTTCTTTTAGCAAGAGTTCTTTCAGTTTAATCTTACAAAAATAATAAAAAACAAAATTTGAAAAAGAAAAACAGACATTGAATGTTGTCTTTTATTCATACTCAGCTGTGTAATTTTTCTGCTGTTTTGTAGTAAAACGTACAGCCCGTTTAAGAAGATTGCGTGCAGAAACAGGAAACGTCTACCGCTCTTTTATAGTGACAAAATATTAATCACAAGTTAAAAGCGCACACATCAAACGCAAAATTAACAACTTATCCATTCCTCAGCCTGCAGCATCGAGTAGAATGACGCACGCAAGAGGTTTAGAGAACACGAAAGAAGCGCAAAAGGGCAGCCGAGAGCAACTCTAGCTTCTTCAGTGAATGCTACCCAAACTTCACAAGTCCATGATAATTCGATGATGCGCAGCTAAAAGCATGAATCAATTATTTTTTTTAGTCTTGCTAATGGCATGGATAAATGTCTCCCTCGAGACGAAGTGATGAGCGTGCGTCACTGTATTACGATGAACACTTATCCGCACTACGCTGGAGGAATTTGAAAACAGACACTTCACTCTGAAAACGCATCAAACCTTATTCGTCTACACTACGCCGGAGATACTCAAAGTCGCAGGGAAATGTCATCATTACCGTGACGCCATCGTTTTCGAAAAACTCTGTTTTCAAAATGTTTTCCGTCCACACGAAAACGAAAGGCCGGTTCGTGTTTTCAAATTCCTCCGGTTTGAAGAGCGTTTTCGAAAAGCTCTGTTTTCGTGACGGATTAGTGTGGACGTTAGACTTTATAACTGAAGAAAATAGCTGCGTTTTCAAATTCTCTGGCGTAGTGTGGACGGATTAAGCTCAATTACAAGCCGCTGTCAGTGTATTCGAGTAAACAAGTCATTTGTTTTTTTTTCCTCTGGTTGGAAAAAAGTCGGCGTTGAAAAACTATTGTGCCTTTTATGCTTTATCTTTCAAGAAAGACAAAAAATCTATTCACTTCCTTTTCGTGCCACAAACGAGGTAAAATAAATATAAAATAGCTCGTAGTATCCTGTAACAAATAAAATTTTGTACAAGATGAAGAAGAAGACCCAGGCTGGAAGAAGAATTTCTGCTCTATCAGCAAGTAGTTGTCCATGAGAGAATCAATCAATATATGAAAGAATCAATCGATATGTGATGAGTGCGATGAGTGTTTACTTAACGTATATACAATGGCTACGTATACATGTATGTGGTCTACGTTCTGTTACTCAGATTTTCAAATGCCCGCCGAATCCCTGGGACTATATTTTTGTTGTATTTGTCACTGAAATTGCTATTTTCTTTTCATTTCATTTCAGGTTCCGCTGTTGGATTTGTGTTGCTCACAAGCTTTCTTTCAATGTTTGTGGAACTTGGTGTCCAGACCTCGTTAACAATGCAGGATACACGGTGGGTGGGGAACTGGTGGCTAGGGTTTGCCATATTTGGTGCGATCTGCGTATTTTGGAGTGTTTGGCTGTTAGGATTCCCGAAAGAGTTTCCGCTGACCAAGAAACAATGGGAAATCGAACTCGGCGTAGGTGAAACTGCAGCCAAAGTGGTAGGTTGCTTCTTTAGAGTGTATGATGCAGTTTTATTTTCTTCCTTGAAAGATAAAAAATGCGTGACAAGTATGCGTGACAAGTAAAGTGAACATAACCTAATCGTTTTCCTTGGCAACCAAGTTAACGTTAGGTAATGATTCCGTTTTGCGCTTTGGCGTCTCTCAGTAAACCATCCCCACCCGACCCCTACTCCTCGTCCCCGCTCCCAGCTCCCATTCCGTGAGTGAACTTTCCAATACCAACCATCTTTCAACAAGGGTTTGTCGAATTTTATTTGACTTTGTGAAGGGTTTGGTTTGCTGGTTTAAAGTTAAATTAGAGCAGGATTGAACATGTTTAGACATGGCACTTAGCAGATCTCTCAAATAAGAAATGTCTGGTATTCTCTCCTAGACAAAAAAAGACGAAGTAACAGAAGAAGGAAAAGAAAAAGCAAGCTACACCAAGTTGAAAGATCTGCCCAAAGCAACAAAACTCTTGTTTTCACGCCTTCCTTTCGTATTCATCACACTTGGTGTCTGCTTGGAGAATTTTACTTTTACAGCTGCAACTGCGTTTCTGCCAAAAATCATGCAAACGCAGTTTTATTTGCCACCTGGCAAAGCAGCTCTTTTGTTTGGCGTGATAGCTGTACCTTGTGGATTCTTAGGCAACTTGATAGGTGAGAAATAAAAAGACACTATCCAAAATAGCTGGAACTTCTGCCCCAATAGCAGGTGCTCTCATTGGCTACTTTGAGGTCATGTGACAATGAGAAGGTTTGCCGCCTATGTATTCACCAGGGTGGCAACTGACATTGCCAACTCTATGGTGTCAGAGCTTAACAGTGCACTGTTGCCCTTGAATGGTGGCCGGCCAACAACGGCTGTTTTCAAATGAGATCTTTCGATGTTCACGTTGGACTTATCTCTTGGTAAGTGGTACCTAACCTCGAGTATCCAGTTAATTTCTTTCACTCGGATCTCTAGGGAGACATTGAGATTCTCAGGAAACAGAATTTACTGTTTCCCTTGGGCCGAGTAGTTT